GTCTTTATGAAGAGGAAAAAAGCTTAATTCCATCATATACTAAAAAATAAAAAGCTTAAGTCTAATGTCCTTGAAAGTCTTAGTAACTCATAAACAACTTGGAGGCTTTTATCGAGGATTCACTTTCTTAGACTGCCAGGTTCTCATTTTGCACACAGTGCCTCCCTATTACTGAAATAGTGGTATTTCTTTGAGAAAAAAAAAAAAACAACAAAAAACAAAAAACATTTTGGATCATAGAGCCAAAGGAGTTTAATATCTTTTGTTGAGAACTGGCAGTTTTTATAACTGAATGATGTTACAGTGGTCTGGAAAGACACTAAATGAGATGTTGGTGGTTTAAAAAACTTAACCAGGTCTCTGAGGAATAAACCTGAGCACAGGAGAGCAGGAGCATAGAGGAGCTCCTAGGATTGATTTGATTCATCCCTGTAATGTAAAGACATTCTTCTCAACATGAAGGTTAGTAAAAGGCTCTCTGCAGACTGAAAAATTGTAGGCACTAATGTCATTTCAGAACTCCTGAGCATTACTGTGAATCTCCTGTCCAAGGTTAGCCTGAAAAGGTGACTTCAGTTGGCACCTTGATTCCTCAAGGCCCTGCCTCCTGGGACCCACCTCTGCAACAGAGACTAAAACAAGTCAGGTGATAGGAATGTTTATTGAACTAAATAAAAATAGAAGAGGCCCTCTTTGTACTTTTTATCACTATCGATGGACTCATTCACCTAAGCTGGACTTAATCAATTTCCTGAACTTACTGTATCATTGGGCAAAAGCTGTGTTTCTGTACCCACCTTTTTCACTGGCCCAAAGCCAAGATTTTTTCTGAAGCTGATAAATGACTCTACTCAGTTTCTAGTCAAAGTCCTTCTAAGAATATAGATACTAATTTAGAAACTAGCCAAATCCACATGTCTACCCATAAATAGCAAAGCACATTTAGGGCTTCCTTAGAAATTTCTGTTATGAGGTGTCTTCTGATATCACTGAGAGAAACAAAGACTACAACCTACACAGTCCAAACAGACACTGACGGGTCTCTATTTGGAAATGGGAATGTATTTTCCAGGATGTCTACGAAAGTCCACTGGACCCACAGGGAAGTTAAATTCACAAATCTTCCTGTGGGCTTCAACTACGCTTCTGTGACAATGTTGTGCAAGTTCTTCACCAGAAACACAAGTTCGTCCCAGAGGCCAGGTCAGCAGACATGCATGGGACCCAGCAGGAGGGGGAGGAGGAGAGAGGAATCCCTGACTGTGGAGACAGTCGTTACTTAGGGGTTCAGAATTTATTGCCATATGAGTATTTAGTTTTTTTTTTTTTTATTTCTCTGTTGAGTAATAGAGGCGAGATAAAGTTGCAAAAGATAACACCAGTATAATCTCTTAAAAGCCCTGTTGTCACCCACATTCCAGCTTCTGCTGAGGAATCATGACTATGTCCTCAGGCAGGCCACGCTGTTGCCTTCTGAGCCAGCTGGGACTTATTGATAGAACATAATCCCTGCAGATTAACCTGTTCCACTGAGTGTAAACTCTGACTTAACTCAAGGAAGTGGCTCTAGAAAAGGCCGGAAGAAAGAAGGTAGAAGACCAGCCTTAGCACTGGTTCTCCTGGGAGCATGAGAGCCACACCCAGTTTAAATATGAGATCCTGCTGGGTGCGGCTTTTTGGTTCTCAGGAATCCTTAAAAGTTTCAGGTTAAAAGACCTGCTCAATGAAGGATAAACAGGAACATACTCTACATAAGGGAGGTGTAGGATTGATGCAAAGCGAGCATATGGGCTCTGGAATTTGACCCCTGGATTTAAAACCTGGCTTCTCTTTAAGCTGTGTGTCCTTCAGTAAGTCATTAACTGCTCTGAGATTCAGCTGCATTAGATTTAGACTTGGGGATCACTGTGAGGATGAAATGAGATAATTTACATGAAATGCTGCACAGACTACCTGTTATATGATGAAAGCTTCATAACGGTTAGACACTATTATTCTAGCAACTCAATGAAACATAAAAAAACATAAACCTAGGATAAATCCTAACAGGTAAATGGTGGAGAAAGTCTAAAAAAACAGAACAAAATAATACAATGCATTCTCTGCAGAGATAAGGCCTGACTTGGAGATGTAGGTCTATGAGAGACTTCTTGTTAAAATTTTAAAAAAGAAGGAAATTCACATGAGTTTCTGTGTCTTCGTGTATGTGCGTGTGTTGTACATATATGCCTGCATTCTTGAGTATTTTACCTATTTTATGGGATGATGGTGGGGATTTTCTAGGGTTGCATATTAAGTGCTTTTCACATGAAATAAAAGCAGTAAATCACGAGACAAAGAACCTACTAACCAGACAGGTGGAAAGACAAATGGTTAAGACTTCCAGGCTGTGGTGCTCAGAGTAGTGGCAGCATTGGAAAATAACTCTTTGTAAGAGTAAACCACAAACCAGGAAAGGCAGATTATGGGGCAGAGCCTGAGAGAGAACCGGCTATCTCGGTAGAGTTTTGATCTGAGGTCAAAAGGAGTTATCCTTGGATTCAAACTGCAGAGATATCCTTGGTTCTCAGAGAACCCAAGAGCCTGGTGGAAATGCAGACCCTGGCCGAGGCCAATATCAGAGACCCCAACCAGCTCAGATGGCCAGAAGAAGATGACACTATAGCTCAGATGTAAGGTCCTAACTGAGAATTTTCACTTGTGCCAATGAGAGCTGGCAGAGGTGGGCAGACACCTTCATGGCGATAATTTATGCTTCACCCCTGATGGCTGCCTAATCAACATACAATCCCCTTCACTGGGTTTTACCAGCTCCTCGGACAGTTTCTACCTCATTGCACTAGAATCTCTGTCTACTACAGGGTAATCCTTAGACTAGAAGATGGAAGGTGAACTTCAAATGTCTCATATGCCAAGCAATCCTCACACCAACTGTAAAGGTAGATTTGAAAGTGTGCCATCTACTGCTTCTTGCAGAAGCTTTTAAGATCAGTTTGAAGCTATATCCTGACTCAGCATTGGTGTTGACATTGAGATGAGGAGACCTGGCTTTGCACTGATCAGCTCTGAGACTTACGGCCTACCTCAGGTCCTCCCTGAACTCAGTTTCCTCTGTGTCAGATGGAAATTATTTGTACTTTGCATGACAGGTCATGGATATATGAAAAGCATCCCACCTGGTGCTCAGCACAGAGTTCGTCAGTGATTGCAAATGCTGTGTATTAGTGTTGTCAGCCTGCATAATAATAGCCCATAGACATAGTGAGGTAGAAGGGATTTATGGCAAATTGGAACTGAGGCCTTCACTGATTTAAAACAGGATGGACCATTTCCAAAGCAATCTGTACCTGGTGTCTACAACTCATCCCCCTCTTCTCCTCCCCAACCCCGTCTGCTTTAGCCACAGTGGCCACCTGACAGAGCAAGAGAATTGCTGTAAGCTGTTAATGAGGGGCAAGAATGTGTTAGGGAGAGCAGTAAAATTACTGCCCTATTACTGTGCAGTTAGTGAACATCATCTACAATCCAACTTCCCGAGCAGCTATGCTCCCTCAGCTTCCTAATTGTCTGAAGCCTTTGATTTATCTGGCAGAGGAAGTCAGTGCAGAGCAAAGTTCTATGAAAGAGGCTTTAATAAATGTCTTTAGGATCAGAGTGAGAGCCTTGCCCCAGATAAGCCATGCAGGAAAACATGGCTGGCAGTATGTTTCCCACAAAGATAACAAGAATGCCAGGTGGCAAGGCAATATCTGGCCAAAAGCTGGAGGACAGGCCTTGTTACCAGAGGATGTGGGGCAGAGAGCTGTAAAATGCTTTCCCTAGGCCTCAGAGTGTCAAAGGAGTACCTCTAAGCATTTTTCCACACTTGGCATTTCACTTATTTGCCCACTCACTGTGATCTAGTTAATACCTGTATTTCACCTCTCAATCATTGATTCATTCATTGTGTATTAAGTCATTCATTCTGAAACTAAGCTTAAAGGGTTAAATTATTTTCAGATACTAAAAGCACACACACAAAAACAATTTATGTAAATTTTTCTTTTTGAAATTTGTCTTTACAAACACAGTTTACTTGACACCCTGAGAAGAAAAGTAGATAAATTTGAGCTGAGCTCTGGGGCCAGCTGGAGATGGGGGGTGGGAAGTCTTGCAGGAATAGGAACCCAGAAGTAGAAGGCCCACCATAAAAACTTCAATTAACTGAAGAAAAATAATCTCTTCAAATTTCCACACATATATAAATTGCAGGAGAATAGCCAGTGAGTTTTAGACAAGTCCACATCTCTTTGCTCCCAATCTGGTTTTTAGCAAATAAAATTTAACTCCATTTTACTCAACCGTGTTCCTCACAACTTACATAACCTCATTTCCTTTCTTATTTGGGAAGGCAATTTTGATTTCTTTTTTTTTTTTTTGCCCATCTCCTTATTTGTTCACTTGCCATAAACCCTTCCTGTTTTAAGCACGGATGTTCCAGTGATTTTGACTTGAATTAGCAGTTGATTTTCTAGAGTTTGGTATCAACTACACAAACATTATGATGCATCTGCCATGTATTTCAATGTATATAATTCTGGGCACTAGGGATACCTCAGGGATAAAAGAGACAAAGTCCCCTGTCCTCAAGGAGCTTACATTTCAGGGGAGAGAGAAAGACCTAGGAAGTACAGGTAGAACATGTTTGAAATTAGTAAGAGCTGTATAAAAATAATAAAGCAGAAAAGGACAACTTTTCTGGGCTTGCTAGATTTTACAGAAGGTGGTCAAGGTAGCCTCACTGAGAAGGAGACATCTGAGCAAGTTGTTCAAAGGAGGAGGCTTTCTCTTGCTGTTCTGGAAGGACCTCATCGCAGTCACGCCAGGGGAGTCTTATGTTTATGAGAACCTCATCCCTCTTTGCAGTTAAAGACTGTGTGGGCCAAGGGCTGCGGCCCCAACCTCGGGGAGTCACCCAGCCACCAGATGTGCAGGAAGAGGTGGCTTGAGCAGGTCCTCACCTCTTCCAAGCGCCTGCGCTGCTCCTTCTGCTCCTCTATGCGCTTCTGGCGCTCGGCCAGCAGCTGCCTCTTGTGCTCCTCATTCTCCCGCTGCTGCTGCTCCAGCTGCTGCCTCCGCAGGGCCTCTGAGCGCTCCTTGTTGGCCAGCTGGAGCCTCAGGAAGTCTCGCCGCAGAGTCGACTCCCCTGGCAGGTTCAGAATAGAGCTGCAGGCAGGAGAGAGAAATCAGGATCTTGTATGGGGCCAGGGCCATGGCCACCTGAGTCCTGGGGAAGGTGAGCAGGAATAACGCATCTTTATAAAAGAAAGAAGCCACAGGTTCAAGCACAGGTGCTTGGGTCCTCTGTTACTTTATTCAACGCTCCCCCCCCACCCCCAAAGAAACTGGGTGAAAGGAAAAGACACTCTGGTCCAGCTGCCCTCTCAGGGAGTCTGCTGAATATAAAGGCTGTCTCCATCCCTAGCAGGGCCATCTCTCAGTCTGGGACCATCCACTCTGCTCTCTTCACCAGGTGGCAAGGCGAAGATTTGTTTCATAGGCTTGAGAGAGTGAGCAAAGCCTGAACCTCTGATCAGCTTATTTTCATGCTTAAGAAAGGCAGGAACAAAGCAGCTAAGTAACAAGAACAATAGGGAAGACTAGGGAGCCTGCTCTACTCAGAAGTTGAATCTCTCTCACACGTCCTTTTTGATTCCACACAGGACTCCATGAGGCAAAGGGCAGGCCGCTCACGTGCAGGCATGGAAAGTGCCGAAACCGAGGTTGACAGAGCTGCTTCTTGAGTCTGAGAACTTGGGGTTTATCTCACTGTACCACCATAAATGATAAGTGATATGATTCAGCTTTGGCTACAGAATGTCCCATGAGGACTTGAATCCCAGCTCACTGGTTCCATGGAAGCACCATGAGCCTCAGTTTCTCACCTGTGAGTGGCGATTGTGCATTTGTATGTGTGCACGTGTGTGCACATGTATGTGATACAGAAAGATCATGGGGTGAACACACAGTATAAATACAACCCTCCTTACTCACCGGCCATCTAGCACTGGCCCAGGCTGGTCCCACTGCTGAGGAACATGAGGTGACACTATTGGCTGGGGCATAGCAGCTTCACAGGGGGTTGGGCGATGGCTCCTCTGTGCAGACAAGCCTGACCTTTTTAGCTTTTGCTAACTGCCACTTGGAGTCAACTCCATGAAATATTTTCTGAGAACCTACTATGCAGCCGGCACTGTATTCAGCTCTAGAGGATGTTGTAATAGCTAAATAAACAGCTAAATAAATAATCTCTCTAGCATTATCTTCTTGTGGGCAAGACAGACAAACAATAATTGAACAAAAAGATAGTTACAGGGACAGGCTTTGCGGGTGACAGAAAGCGTAATGGTGCACAAGTGACTGTGACAGGGTGCTGCGGTGGGGGTTCAGGGTGCTGGTCAGAGATGACCTCTTTGACAAAGATACAGCTGAGGAAAAAACTAAGGATGAAGGGTCAGTCACATAAAGAGGTGGGGAAGGAGTTTTGGGCAGGAGGAAAAGCAAAGTTAGAGGCCTAGGTGATAACAGGTGTAGCCTCTTGAAGGCGCTACGGAGGGGCGGGGCTTCTAGGACAAAGTGCTGGAGAGGAAACGTGGGCCAAGAAGAGGTCAAAGACAGGGCAGATAGGGTGACGCATGTGTCTGTGCCTGGACAGCAACCTGATCGGGGTTGTTTAAATAGATGATCGACTGCAAGGAGGATGGGGGCAAGTAAGGCTACCTGTTGGGCTACACTGCAGGGGCTCTGGGGTACTGACTTTAACCAGGGAGTCTGGGAGAGGAGGCTGGGAGGGTGAATTACATTATTCATGAAATGGGGATAGAGTCTAGGAAGCCTGTTGATGGATCTAATAATGCGCAGAGTGAGGGATGACTTGCAGGTTTTGCTCTGGCACCCGGGCAGTGGTGGTGATGACAACTGGGATGGGGCGTATCAGGGAGTGGCAGGTTTGGTGGCCACTGACAAGCGGACTGTTGTTTCTGGAGTGTGGTTGTTGTATGTGAGACACCACCGTGAGCTACCTAGAAAGGCTTTCTTCTTGACTTCCCATTGATAGTGAGGGCATTTTACAAATTAGCCCCCTCAAAACCTACAGCTTTTGTTTTTTGCATTTTTACTTTAAAACCAGCCCCAAATAACAGTGCTTATCTACTCCGACCACATGTTCTGTGCAAAGGCGGCAGAGCTTGGGGATTCCAGCCTTCCTTGCACACAAGGATGCTCCATTAATATTAATTGATGTTGAATTTATGTCAGGTGATCTGAGCTGTGTTAGTGACTCAATCATTAACTTGGTGTGTGACCTGGTTGCCACCCTTGGGCTGTCACCTCATTTCTAAAATGAGATAAGCATTGTCCCTTTCTACTTTTCAGGATTTCATGAAGATTAATTAGATGTGTGTATAAAACAGGACTCAGAAACTGACATAAATGACAAGTTGCAATTATAACAGTGTCAAGGCATGGTTAGGTCAATCCAGTGACTTCTAACAGACAGTTTAGCATGTGTTGGAGAAGATGGGGGTTCTGTGGAGATGATCAGAGGAGTTGTCATAACCATTTGAGGGCACTCTGGACAAATCGTGTATAACTTCTCTGAGAGCAGGGCATCTGGTCCTTTCTCTTATAACAAAATTCATTTACTGTGTGCTTGACAGCAAGCACTTTTGTTTTTAAGACTTATTTATTTGTGCATACAGAACTGGGGTACAGAACAGAGATGTGGTGAGTGAGAGGATTCACTAGAGACAGAGTGGGGGCAGAATAGGTAGCTGTATTGAAATACACTGCTGAGAGGAGCAGCAGGTGGGACAGAAGAGTCTGCCACGCCATGTGGGTCACTTCCCTGGCTGGGGATAGAACTTGTTCTGCAGTGGCTGCAGTAGATTCATAGTGCTGTGCTTTAATCTGTCGCACCACCAGGGAGGGCCCAACAACAAACACTTTTAAATAGCTAACCTGGGCGCAAACAAACACGTTAAATATCAGAGAGAAAGAATCTTTAATCTTTGATTTTAAGAATCTCTGTGGCAGGTGAAGAAAACAAGCTCATCTACCTACTTTCTATGGTATTTCACTTGATAGGTCTGAACTTACTCTGAAAATGAACCCACTAGCTCTTTCCAGCAGCAGTGACTGAGTGATTGAGCTGGCCCCTTCCCTGATCAGGGCTCTGCATCATCACTGTGGGAATATTGCTTCTTCCCCTGGAGATTTGGGGTCTCCTCCTTGCATGGCTAAAGGAAGGGGTCCTGTGTACCCTGGAGACCTTTTTGCTTGCACATTTTCACCAGTAACTCTCAGTTTGCATGCACAATGCACCTGCCCTAGCATGAGTGCCTGTGCGCCTTGACTTAACAAACTGCAACTACTTAGAGTCTCTTAAGCAAGGGCAATCCTGGCTGTGTAAGTACACCAGTCTTAACTATCCTTATTTTTATTTTTATTTATTTATTTTTTTAAAAATCCATTTACCCATGCTTACAGAACTGGGGTACAGGCCAGAGGTGTGGTGGGTAAGAGGATTCACCAGAGACAGAGTGGGGAGAAGAACAGGCAGATTGACAAAGTACACTGCTGAGGGGAGCAGGGGGCGGGCCAGGAGAGGTCTGCCGCACCATGTAGGTCAGCTCCAGGTACGCCAGGGATTGAACTCATGCTGCAGTGGCTTTGAAGAACTTCCTAATGTGGTGCTTTAACCCGTTGCGCTACCAGGGAGAGCCTTTAACTATTTTTAAACAAGACTAGAAGAAGGTCAAAATCAAAATCAAATGAAAGTCAAAGTTCAGAGATGATACGCAGCATTCTGGAGGACAACAGGAACAGGAATGAGAGTTCCTATACCTGTAGAGTGTAAATTCCCAGAAATCATTTCTTCTTGGGTTTGGCTGCATTGAAAATACAAAAGCATGTGATAGGAAAAGCCGTCAGGTGGGCTTCTCCAAAGTGTGAGCTAATGGACTAGATAACTCAAATCCAACATACCAGCTAGTTCTCCAGAAAGTTGCAGTTTTAGGTACTTCTTGTCCTGTCTTACTTAGATAATTGCTGCTACCCATCTTATATGTTACATGTGTGAAAAATAAAGTCTAAGAATACAGACCATAAATCTTGGGGGACAAGATAAAGAATATGCTGATTTCCACATTTTACTAAGATTGTATCTGAAGAAACTTTCCCAAATTAATGAGTATGTTCACGAACAATAAATTAAGACCACCCTACTGGATTTTTTAAAATGAACCTATAAATCAAAAGGAGATTGCATTTTGCACACACAATTGAGAAAGGGAAAATCTGAATACCTGGCTTCCACCCTCCTACCTGGGCTCTCCTGAATCATTCTCCTCCTCTTCTTCTTCACTGCCACTGTATTCATACTCCGTCTCATCTGAAGAGAGAGCACAGGATGTTAGTGTGCAAAATGATGTTGTAGCTCACTGCATTCAAAGCCTCTTGTTTCAGATGCAAGTGAACTCTGCTATGTGCTACAACTTAGTTGTAGTAGTACTGAGCTGAGACATGGGTAGCTCAGTCCTGAACCCCAGTAGTTCCCACCAGCTGCATCAGCTAGGAATGAACCACATAATTCCAGATGGCTTTCGATATCCATCTTTAATTCCTAGCTTTCACCAAAATGGAAACAAGGAATTGACAATTAACCTTTCCTTTGGTTTTAACTCCCATTATAGGACCAACCAAGCAATCTTTAATTGATCCTCTATTAACTTATTGACAGTATCAGTAATTTTTTTAAAAACAACTTTTATTATGATTTACATGGAGTTACAAATGCCTTTTTATGACTTGACAAATAGCAGAAAATAACTTTTGGCAACACATATTATTAAAATTACAACATTAGATGTGTTTTGATTGACCAATTGGCAATATTCATTTAATTGAGTAATATGTTAAGCAAGCTAACATGCAATAATGAAAATATAGAATATTTGTTCTGGAGGAGACCAGAATCTAATAAACAAGATGGATAAGTAAGAAATTAGAGCTCCCATAATTATGAAGAAAAAAACTAGTCTTTACTAGGTGTCTCCCATGCCAGTTTTACCTATGTATTTCATTTATTTCTCATTATAATCCTTTAACATAATATCTAATTTTCAGGAAAAAAGATAGATTATAAAAGGTTAAATGGTATGATCAATGTTGTCTCATTAATAAAAGGTCAATCTAGGATTTGAATTTATAATTCAATCCAGAATTTTCCTACTTAACACTTGTGTCTTTTCTAGCACATTATCTGCTAAACAGAAGCACATAAAAAGGGCAATAAGATATCAAAGAAAGAAGTAACTTGATCAAGTAGTATGCATGATCATAATGGAGAAAGAGGGTAACAAGGCTATTGAGGAGAAAATAAGCTGAGCTTTGGAAGGTCAGCAGCCTTTGAAAATGGTAGGGAAGAGCATTCCACGAAACACAGTCAGTTAAGTAAAGCTTAAAGTAATACATTGCATGATATGTTTAGGAAAAAATGACTTATGAGCGACCAGATGTGTAGGTGTAAGAGAAGCAAGTAAGAAAGAGTCAGCAAGGCTAGCAGGTATGATATGGTTTGCTGGTCCTTATATATTCCATGCAGAAGACTTTTTCTGTGGGCAATAGGAGGTGCTTTTGGAGGTGCCTTAGGAGGTGCTTTTGGGCAAGGGAGAATGCCACATCACTATGAGCTCTTCATTGCTATAAGTTAGCAATATAACTTTTAAGACATTTAATTATCCTTAAAAATGAACTGAAACTGCATATGTGCATTCTACTTATTTTTGAAAATTGATTTTGTAATTGACATCTTTATTCAACTGATTATTTCAATTAGTCTTTAAATAAAATCTTTAGAGTTTTGCATAGATATATTATGGCACTTGAAAATAATAGTTGAACTTCTTTCCCTATTTTGATTCTTGTTATTCTTTTTCTTGGCTGACTGTTCTACCTAGGACTTCCAAGAGTATGTGAATAGTACTGGTAAAAGGGGATATCGTTTCATTATTTTAGATTTTAGGTGAAAAGCATTCAGTCTTTCACCATTGAGGATGATGTTGATTGTGGGATTGTTGTATATGACCTTTAACATGTTGATGAATGTTGTATCCTGCTTTTTTGAGTGTTTTCATACTAATGGATACTGAATCTTACCGAGTGCTTCTCTCCATCTATTGATATAATCTTCTGATATTTTTATCTTTCCTTCAGTCAATGTGGTAAATTATATTGATGGATTTTAAGAGGATGAACC